TTTCAGCACGTGTAGTGTGTCATAGTGGACGACAACCAATTCAGCGTCTGCGATGCTTCACGACAGAAAGACTAGCATGTTTAATTTTTTTTCCGTCGTCCACGACGAGTTCTGTCACATTGGTGACGTTGACCAATAGCAGCACAGAAGCTCTTTCATACACAGGTTTCAAACATGCGAAACAAAAGAGAGATGATGGTGCTGCTAGGTGGAATTATGAGATGGAGGAAAGGTTATGGGAGCTGTGGCAACAGTACTCCTGCCTGTATGAAGTGTCATTGAGGGACTACCACGACAGAACAAAGAAAGAAAAATGCTGGCAAACTATAGCGGAAGCGCTTCAGCAATGTTTACACTCTTGTTTTTGGAAGTCAGTCGCTAGTTCCGCCTTCTTGATGACATCACGCACGTCGTTTAAGATGGCACGCGATGAATGGTCGGGAAGCAACGTGTAGTCTGACATGTTTCTTGTCCACGACACAAGATTTTAGGAGTCAAAATCATGTAATCTGACACGGTGACTATCGTGACCGACAAAAATATTGTGTAGTCTGAACCCGCCATAAGATAGCAAACACAGTTGGGAGGAATGCTAGAAATGTAATTCATTCAACACGCAAAGTAGCGTGACCATACTGCTCTTTTTCCTGGACAAGTCCTGGCTAAGATTTCTAAATTGCCTAAAATATCCAGGTTTTAGCTTTGTTTGCGCTACGCAGACTGATCGTTGATTGACATCAAAGAACCGTGAGCGGACGGCTCCTTATGCTTTCAAATCACTCTCGCAGTACTTTGAGGTCATACACCGAACGGTCCACGCAGCGCTGCTTCAAGTCGAACACACCTGATATGTGCGCGTATTTGCATCGCTTTGACCATTCTCTGTAGATCCCACCTTCTCATGCACCACGATTGGACGATTACGTACAATGCCTGCTACTGTTATTGGTCAAACTACTTTTCAATCATAAACTTCAGCAAGTATGAAAACAGGAAAACAAAGCCAAAACCTGGATATTTTTTACTTTCCACTTCCATTTAATTTGTTTGCACCCATTGCTAGTCAATTAATGTGTGCAAGATAATCCACTGTAAAAAATAAATAAATTGTATTTCTTGGCAATCTTTAATCAAAATCTGAACATTTGATTTTTTAAATAAGCACCCATTGCTAGTCAATTAATGTGTGCAAGATAATCCACTGTAAAAAAATAAATAAATAGTATTTCTTGGCAATCTTTAATCAAAATCTGAACATTTGATTTTTTAAATATTTAATCACATAATTACAACAGACTATTTTACCCAATATTTTCAAGTTGCATTACATTAGAATGATTATTGGAATATTAGAATTAATTATTAGAATATGCTAACATCAAACTACTGAAATCTTCAGATGGGAAATTTTCATTGGAGGTACACTACCATTCAAATGTTAAAATATAATTTACTCTTGTGATAGCAAAGCTGAATTTTCAGCAGCCATTACCCCAGTCTTCGGTGTCACATGATCTGATGACCTGAGCTTATTTGGTGCTCAAGAAACATTTCTTATTATTATGAATATTGGGAAAAGTTGTATTGCTTAATATTTTTCTGGAAACCAATGAATGATGAACATTATAAATGTCTTAACTTACATTTTTGGCAGTTTTCTGGGGTTTGGAACAGAGCTTCTGTTCATTATTATTAAAGAGGTCAGTAGGATTATTAAAATAAGAGAGAAGATCATGCAGGTCAAAGGTTCATTTACCTCCCACCATCCTCTTTCAGTTTGCGGGCGGCTTGTTTGGACTGTTTGATTTGTAAGTCCAGCCGGTGTAAGTAGTCTTTAGCTGACAGCTCTTCTGCCTGCACGGGTCGGGTGTTGGGCTCCGGGGTGGCTGGTTCTGGTGGGGGGGATGGAGCGTCCACGTCCTGACTCACGCATGGCGACTCCTGCAGCGTGCTTCCCTCGCTGTCAGGCGACTCCAGAGACAGTCCGTTAAAGAGGGAGCGTTTTTCTGACTTAACAGGAATATTAAGTGTGTTTCGCAGGAATATGCACTCATTGCTGAACAGTTTATTGACTCGTTTAATTTGCTCCATCTGTGTAAATAAAGGACAAATATGAACATATGAAAATATCAAAAACGAACTTTTATTTTCCAAGAAACATCAACCCATCTATCTGGTGTTTGATCTACATTACCAGCGTGTGTTTAATGTCACTAATCAAACTACATGAGCAAATATTTGTTTAGCGATTAAGAGCTAGGTTATAATGAAATATGTGATTTCCTTAGATGACTCCTGAGAATCCCATTTACAAATCCCGGCAAGTCAGTTTACACATCCATTCGATCTCCAAATCTCTCTCAACACACTTTTTTACAATTATCTTGAGTTTCACCATGTGGGTATCATAAGCAATCATATCTTATATTTGTACAGATTCCCAACCTGGACAACATAGGTTGCATCATAATAAGTTGGCTAGACTGCTAAAAATGCTTTCATTCACAGCATTTTTGGGCATCATATGATGTTTTTATCACATTAGCTTGTTCTGTATGTTTCCGACGTAGCAAACATGGTCATTTTGGTGGGTAAATACTACATTTTTGGATTTTCATTCACAGCATTTTTGGGCATCATATGATGTTTTTAATCACATTAGCTTGTTCTGTATGTTTCCGACGTAGCAAACATGGTCATTTTGGTGGGTAAATACTACATTTACACATGCAAATGAAAGAAATGCAAACCCTCCTTTGCTATATTTTATGATTTTGTGAGAATATTTCAAAGTTTGCTTACAAATACGTCAAAGAAAACTAGTAAGATGGGAAACATGTTCCTCATTTTCAAAACAGTTACTATTTTAGTGCTGTCCTCATTTATATCTTTGTTATAGTCCATTACATTTCTAATCTTGCTTTTTTGTCAGTGTGGTGTGCCAACTATAATAATAAGACCAAATGTTTCTTGAGCAACAAACACCCTGATTTCTGAAGGATCATGTGGCACTGAAAGCTGCGTAATGGAGCTTCATGAGAGGAAAACACATTTTAAAATATATTCAAATTGAAAAGTTCTTTTAAATGGTAGATTTGCTGTATTTTTTGATCAAATAAATGCAACCTGAGCAGAAGAGATTTGTTTCAAAACCATTAAACAAAGTTTTAATGGTGGTGTGTTATATGCTATACTTTATAATATATATTTTTAAAAGCGTGTTTTAACCCATTTAAAACAGCCCACATATAATCTTAAAAATATGTAATTTAATGCCACATGACATCTGATGTGTGCAAGCCACGTTAATAGAAATAGGCTATAAGAGCCTTGAATAAACTCTTTAGAAATGTGGCATTCAAACCAACCGCGGCCAATCAGCAAACGAAAAGCATTCATATTAATTTTTCTAAACAAGAAAAAGCATCTCATGCTTCATCGTGACTAAATGCTTGCTGTTGTTTTCACGGGAAGCCCCTGGCAGCAACAACAACAAAAAAGTTGTCTAGATAGGAAGCTCACTAGTTTTTGAGACACACTCCACGTCGCGTCTATATGATGTCCAAAAGGCACGTACAACAATGTTGAGCATGTGGAGAAATTACTAGGCCGTGGTTTCTTGTATGCGTGTGTGGTTATATTAATGTGTGGCTCATATTCTTACCGTAACACCGTATTTGAGCGCTATACCCTGCAGTGTGTCCCCATCCGTTACCCGGTGTTCTATGTATTTCTCTCCTAACGGCGCAGTGACGCTCGCGGTGCTGCCGTACGAGCGGGTCTTTGTGCGGGCCAAACTCTGAGACAACTCACTGTCCGACTCCGAACCGGACCGGGATCTGGGGAACAGCGGCTGTCCGTACCGTCCGACTCCTCGATCGTCCCGCAGCGGAGGCAGCACCGGAGAAAACTCCGCCATCTTCAATCCTTTATTATTAAAGCTACCGTGACGCGCGCGCTTCACCACCAACAGACTAATATTATTCGCAGGATATAAATACGCATGTTTCCCCGAGCAGCGCGTTTTCAGCGGTGAAATTCAGAGGAAACGGGAAAGGTGAGTGATTTTTCCAGTCGCCATTCTCGTTACCGTGAGCCTGCGCGAGGAGCCACGGCTCATCCAGTGAAACCTGAGCTGCGCGCGTGCGATGATGCAAACTAGCGCGTCGCGTCTTTCAAGGTTGCAAATGGAATGTGACGTCGCCAGGCAGTCGACCAATCAAAGGGGTCCTGTTATACTTTTTCACTCTTTCAACTTTAGTTAGTCTGTAATGTTGCTGTATGAGTATAAAAAAGATCTGCAAAGTTACAAAGCTCAAAGTCCACTTCAAAATGAGATATTTTATTTGAGACACGCTAGCTTTCCCAAGGCAGATGAACTTAGAATGCTTACAATTATCAGGGTTTAAATCGCGCTCAAATTGATTTGATTTTGACGCAATATTTACACTGAAGCTCGCAGGCGGCTATGGTAAGGGGTATGACATTCCAATCACAACACACACTGGCCCAGCTAACCAATAATAATGTAAAATATGTGAAAGATAATATGTTTTTCGAACAACCTAGTATGAGAGCCTGTTCTAGTACACCCCCAAAACAAAATCAAGACTTTGTAAAAGAGCATAATAGGACCCCTTTAAGCGAGAGTCGCGTCCCTTGCAGTGTACTTGCAGTGTACATTCACAAACGATATGAGGCCCAATAACTGTCTCTTGTTCTAAATCTTTTAGAAAATATGTATTTATTTGATTTTTAATTTAAATAGTGTATATTTGTAAGCATCTATTTAGAAAGGAAAAGGGATACATTTTATAGGGATACTTTCAAAAATAGGCCCGCCTATCTTCAAAACAGGAGTACACGATGAAAACGTGTTATAATTAATTATTTTGTCAGTTTCAAAGCTGTTTCGTTTAGAATGTTGTGAGTTATTTGTTTCGAATCGCAGCTGTTCATTTGCGCAGACTGAAGAAATGTAACACTCTAATGTGACCAAACAACTTACACACACTCTGAAATGCTTCCAGATGTATGAAAAAAAGGGTAACACTTTACTTGAAGGGGTGTGCATAAGACTGACATGACACCTTCATAATCATGACATGACACATGTCATGAATATGAAGGAGGTTTTATGCATGTTTATGACAACTGTCTTTAAGTGTCATTAGCTAAGTTATGTCATTTTTAATGCAAATATGACATTATTTGACCTAACCCTACCTCCTACCCTTACCCCTAACCATAGCCCATAACAAAGACATCTCAAACAATGTCATCTTTGCATTAAAAATTACATAACTGAGCGAATGACACTTAATGACAGTTGTCATAAACATGCATAAAAAACCCTTCATATTCATGACATGTGTCATGTCATGATTATGTAGGTGTCATGTCAGTCTTATGCACACCCCTTCAAGTAAAGTGTAACCAAAAAATACTAGTGATTTAACTGAATGGCAGTAGCCTACTGTACATACAGACAGTATTGCTTGAAATGTGAATCATTTAAGTCTGCTTCTATGTATCAGATCTTAAACATGGACAGTGAGTACACAACATATAAGCCCAGATTTGTATTTTATTTGTATTTTTTTAACCACATGACCTGATTTTGAGAGAAAGAGGAAACAGATGTCTACAAGTTGCTGGATTGTGGTTGTGCAGGTTCAGCTGTAGGCAAGCAAACAATCAGAAAGGAAACAGATTCAACCGACAGAGAGAGACCACTACATCATTTCACTTTTGACAGTGCTCTCATACATATTTTCTGATTCCCATCAGTTATCTATTTTTATTGCAAATTGAAACTCTGATGGGCGAAACTGGACTGTTGTAAGTTTTTTTTTGTCTGTAACATAGTTTGTGTGCATTAGCAGTGTTGGGGAAAGTTACTTTGAAAAGTAATGCATTACAATATTGCGTTACTCCATAAAAAAAGTAACTAATTACGTTACATAGTTACTTTTTATGGAAAGTAATGCGTTACGTTACTTTTGCGTTACTTTTTACATCTGGACAGCTTGCTTGTTTGTTTTTAAAATATAAAAGTTCTATTTTTGGCAAATATATAAAAGCCTTTTCACACCAAAAGTGAAATGAATAAGCCTCAGGCTGAAGGGAAAGTAAATTCACATCCGTACAGTAGAATGCAGAAGAAGACATTTCAACACACTTCAGCAATAAAAAAAGACACAAATGTTTGTCTAGAGTAATTTTAGCTTATTAGTACGGTTGAACTGGATCGTCAAAGGTCAGAAGCAAAGACATTGGTTAATAGAATGGGATTAAATACATAAAGGATATTTGTGTTGTTTAACATTTAATTATTGCAGGTT